ATTTAAGCTTTTTAACACTGTAAACAAAATTACAGATAGCACTTTATGCATTAACTGAAAAGAGGAACAGAACGTTGTCTACCAGTTTTCTCACACAAAATAATTCTCTCACTGTCATTATCATGGACTATATACATTAGGCTAATTTTCACTTCTAGTTGCACCAAAGTCAATTCAGAGTAAATCCATTAACCAAATTTCTCTAAAAACATTGGAAAATGAATGCGGCTAGTGTATATGCACATATGTAACAGCACCTATTCCTGAAATGATAGTACTGATCATCTCTGTGGCATTTATGTCAGTGCTGTGACAAAATGCCTTTCTGAGATTAATAAGCGGCAGAAAGAAGGTTGTTTTCAATGGAAAAAAGGAAGCCAAGAGCTGTCTTGTTTCCATGGAAACAGTAGCAGCAGCAGGCAGAACAGCTGTAGAGAGAAAAGGCAGAAGTTAGGGAGGCAGAAATCTTTCTTATTTTACCTCACTGACATGCCAGTGCCATCAGCTACCATCTAAATTTAATGTAGATCAAGCCAGTTTATGTTGAACAGGTAATTTATTATGCAACAACTTACAATTAAGCTTTCTAACAACCAGCACTGCAGGCATAAATTAATAGGAATCACCTACAATGTGATCCAGTACACGTGAAACTATCTAGTCAGCCCATGTACATGCGAAGCTATGGATTCTATGAATATATGTAACAGTGAAGCATTATCATTTCTGTCACTAGATACAAATCTCGCTTTAAAAGGAAGCACAGCTCCCATAGACAAAATGCTTCATTCAGACGGGATGACTGGTTTTAGCCAGCTAAACTACTGGTCTCTTTTCCCACATCACCCTTTACTATTTTGTTTATATACTCTTAGAGTCATTTCCAGACTGAAAAACTCTGCAAACCTCCGAAATTATTAGAAGGTAACTCCTAACACACATTTGCTTTCCTTGTTGAAGATTAAATGAAGAGTAAAGGACCTGCACTTATGCATTAAAGGGCTCTCCTATTATCTTTTACTATTAATCTACATATGTGTATTCCGAGCTGAACATATTTTCACTTCATTCACAGTGCCCTCATCAGACTACCCCAGCAGTGTTGTGTACACTTACACAGACACACAGACACAAAATAAAAGCTGTCCTGCGTCACAAACAACCTAAGTCCTGAACATATTCCACACAAATCATTTATCCTGGTATATCAAAGGCAGCTAGCTACCTGGAAAAAAAAATGCAATCGAATCTTCAAATAAAGGGGGAAGATGCCTTTAGTAATAACGTTCTCTTAATGATGCATTCTGTCACTTCAGTATTTTGAGCAGATCTACAAAATCCCCCCCAAAAAAACCTCTCTTACCCTGCTCATTTCAGATGATTCTACCTATCACCAGCACTGCAAATCATTCCAAGCTGGCTTAGACACTACAGGACCCTGACAAGGAGCTCGTGTCAGTGTAACTTTACTGAAAGCAGTACATATGCACCTCATACTTCCATTCAACATCAGATACTGCCTACTGCTGAAGTCCAGCCTTCATGTCAAGATGAAGTGGGGGTAAGATCAGTATTTTTAAGAACACTTACAAGGTCTTAAGTCCAGACTGGAAGGCTGTGGGAGGTTTTATTTGCATTTTAGTGACTACTTACAAATACGCACAGGGAACTTTACAAACACTTGCCAATTAGTTATTATCTTTCCCTTGTAAATCAAGTAATTATGATGTTGCTTATAGATAAAGAACACACAGCAAAGGGGCTATGCAAGGAGAATTAGAGGCAGTGGCTGCTGGCGTGCCCTAGGCCACACGGCTCTGCTGCAGCTGCTCCTGGGCCACCCAATTTGCAGTCCCTGTCCCTTATCTCTGAACAGATTTACAGTCCTCGCAAGAAGTGACAGGCATCTGGCTACGACGTTCATGAATCCCCGGCCCACTTCGGAGTTCCTGTAGTAAGTACACAGACAGGCCGTAAACCTCCAGAAACATCAATGACAAATACTAATTATTTCTTTATACAGAATCATATTTCAACAATCATTCAAAAGGCCTAAAAAGCTTAATTAACTTGAAACCCTGACGCTGAGGCATTTGCAGATGGGCATTTGCAGACACTCTTTCAAACTTAGTGCTTAATGATGCACTTTCTCACACACTATTTAGACATAGCTTTGGGCTTTACTGCTCTAAAATACATTGAATGCTCTGCAAATACGTTTGTGGGTATGAAACTCACAGTGCATACATGTGTTTCAGATGAGCATAGTAGTTCCTGTTATACTCGACACACAGAAAAACTTAGGTGGTTGCCCAACACTTCTCCTTCTATGCCATTATCTCCTGTCAGTATCTTTCCAAAGATACATAATAGTATTCTGTCAAATAGCAGTGTGTGATTCATCGCTGTATCACTTAAGCCTGCAGTAAAAGGAGTTCCACTGTACTATTTAATTTCAGTTCAGTCTATAAAATCCAAAACAATAAAATGAAAACAGAAATATTTAGACATGACTCTTGAGTTTGAGAAGCAAGATGTTGCAGGTTTAAACTCAACTGTACATAGGTATATTACAGTATACTTCTATAAAAAAGCAATATCAGTAGATTTCAGTATCTGAATTTGAAAGTTGACAATCTTTGAGAACCTCAGATGAAATGTATCTTTTTGCTAACAAACCAGTTTCACTATTTACGTAACATCATTGGATGGGCTTGCTAGAATAATCCTGCGCGTGCACTATCCCCCAATAGGTTACCATGGCAACTTATATTTGAATTTCTGTATATTTCTATTTTTAGAGATCACACTTCAAGATGAAGAAAGTCACAATGAGCCTATTTGTTAATAAAAAAAAGTGATTTTTATCTTTATCACACTTTCCAGAACAGACATTGCTGAAGTTAAATCAGGCAGGAATTCTAAATAAATAAATAACCACTGCAATTATTAAGAAAGTTTACGCCTAAGCAGTCTCACGATAATTTAAGTGCGCATGAGTCACTAACACTGTAACACTATGAGGTGAAGAGAGATATCTGATGAGTTTTCTCTTGATTTCAGTCTTTCAGGTTTCAAATCTTCTTGAAATTTCTTCTTGAAATTTCAGGCCAGGATTTCACCTGAAGTGGTTTCAGAGCCAAACATCATCTCAGCTGCCAGACAGCCAAACTGTACTTGCCAGGACACACAGAAAGTGGCGTCTCTGTTTAAGGTGTGCGAATTGTTGCATTGAAAGTAACCTCTCCACTCCAAACTCCAGTAACCAGGAGCTTAAACTGTTTTTTATATGTTCAAGTGTGCTTGTTAAGTGTATGATAGTCCTTATATACAAATTTGCTTACTGCTTTAGAAGTTGTCAGCAATTCTCAAAATTGTCTTACTCCCTGAAAGATCAACACACTGGGTAGCAGTCCTGAGGAGAATTAAAACACTGACTTGGACTCTAACTAGTTTTTATAGCTCTGTCACTTTCTTACTCAGATGAAATCTGAATATAACCATTACGAAGCAGTTCTGCCACTACAGAAAGAATTATCTCCTGAAACACAACTATTGCCACTTTTTACTCAAACTGCTGATGCTAAAGCTCAAGATATTCTAGTAAAGATGGACAATTTAGAAAACAACCCTTACGGGTGCTATCAAGGAGTTCAAACGGACAGAAAACACGAGGGGCTGCTATAATCTCTAACGGCAATCACCTTGCCCATCTCCACATTTCACCTGGTAGCTTCAATATAATTTTTACCTCATACTCAGCGACTCCCTAGCAAAACAGAGGCCAAAGGCTCTGTACTGGACCAGCCCCAGGCCCAGGCGGCCGACACACCTGTAAGGAAGCAGCAGGTGACGGAACCGCGGCGGAGCCACCGAGCACACGCGGGTTTTGTCACGAAACTGGCAGCAACGTTTGCTTTGAAACTCAGGCAGCCAAGATGCGAGCAACACGTGCATGTCACTGACGAGCAAAAATAGACACTTGTGGTAGTTTTTCTGCAGAACTAATCCCACACTGAAAATGTATTTCAGTAGCATTTGGAGCCAGCTGCCAAGGGAGAACAAGCTGGTGCTCGGTTTTTGAAGCTGTAAACATTGCTGGCACCCGGCAAAGGGCAGTAATTACTCCAAGGCCTTTTGTGTGTTGTTTATTTAACTTATTCTGCTAAGTAGATAAGAGTTACAAACTTCTTCATAGGAAATGGATGTGGCCATAAGGTACTATTCAGGGAATCACTTCGCATATGCTTCTGTTTGCATCTATGAGATTTCCAAAGACATTCCTATGGCTGATCTGAAGATGACTCTGACAGTAACTGCTCTATTTCAAGGAGGGGGTTTAGGTCTGAATGCTTCACGCACAATCCCGTATGTATGTTGCAATAGTTATTAACGTTTAAAAATAAATAAATAAAAAGCATGCTTCCCATGACAATTCCTTCTCCTTTTTTTCCCAGCATATCACAGAGCAGATTTGTTGCTAGTTGCTTTTCTCACTGCTACCTTGAGACCACCACAGTTTTTTCCCCTTATAAGGAATTACGAGGTCTCCTTGCTCCAAAGCCACAGCTGGGAAAGCGAACCCTCATCACCAGTGGCAGCAGCCACTAAGATGCAGAAGCAGATTCAGAATTGCCCCCAAAAGCCAAAGATGTTCAGTGGCAAAAATCTAAAAAATCCCGATCTTCCTAAGGGCAGCCCAGCAGAAGCCTCTAGCTCCAGACAGGGAGCCAGAGCAGGCAGGCTGGAGCGCCAGGGTCACCCTCGCTCTGTGGCATTTGCACCTCTCTTATGGGTGCAGCGCGAATTGGACAAACAGTGGCCACGACGGCAGCACCACTGCACCCCGTGGGGCTCCTGGGTGCGTCGGGACTCCGGATGCGGCCTCCCCACAGGGGCCACCGCTGTCACCCACACCGGGCGCGGGGCAAACACACCGGGCCGGGACGCGCCGCCCGCCCCGTCCCGTCCCGTCCCGTCCCGTCCCGCCGCCCGCTTACCCTGGCGGCCCGCGAGGAGTAGGGGTCCTCGAAGAGCGCCCACACGCGCGGCTGCAGCCGCCGCCAGCGGCCGCCCTTGCCGTCGGCAGCGCCGCCGGCCGCCGCCGCCACGTCCTCGATGCCGAGCCGCTTGGCGGCCAGCTCGTCGTCGTCGCCGGCGCCGTCGGGGGGCGGCTCGCCCGTGAGCAGGTCGGGCGCCTCGAAGATGTCGAGCGCCTCCTCGGCGTCGCGGTGCTGGCGGTAGGTCATCCAGCAGCAGGGCTCCACGTCCGTCTCGTCGATGCCCCAGAAGGCGAGCTCCTCCTCGAAGAGCGGCCCGCACACGTCGGCCGGGCAGTGCAGCTTGCCCGTGCGGTAGTAGTTGAGCACATAGGCGAAGACGCCCGGGTGCCGGTCGAAGAAGAACTCGCTGGCGCCGCCGCTGCTGCGCGGGCTGCAGCTGCTGCCGGAGTCGGGGCAGCCGCCGGGCAGCGGCGGCGGGTTGGGCGGCGGCGGCGGCTCCTCGGCGCCCGGCGACTCGGCGCCCTGCGGCTCGCAGGCGAGCAGGGCCAGGCGGGTGCCCGGCAGCGTCTTGAGGGTGCTGCGGTAGGTCTCGTGCCGCGTGCCGCCCACGTTGAGGATCACCCTCTCGTTGTCCTCGAGCTTCCCCATCGCTCCGGGTCGGACATGACTGGGGAGGGCGCGGGAGATGGCGGCGGAGCGGGCGCGGGGGGCGGGCGCCGGCCCCGCCGGGGCGCCGGGCAGCTCGGCGGGAGGCTGCTCTCCGCCTTGAAAGCAACGACAGACAAAAATCAAGGGGGGGGGGGAATCAAGTCCCCCAAGCTCCACAGCTCCCTTTGCCTCCTGGCCACCGAGCGCAGACCCCTGGGGCGCCCCCAGCCCCGTGGGGGCCCCGGCCGGACCCCGCACCCCAGCCCGGGGCTCTCCCCCCGGATGAGCCCAGGGACACGGGCTGCTGCTGCCGGGCCCACCCCCGGCTCCCTTCGGGACCGCTGGAGTGGGGCGGCTGGAAGAGAAAGTGAGCAGTTAATTATTTAATGGCCATTTATCTTTTATTATGCTAACAGCGTAATAAGGAAAGAGAGAGGGGGCAAAAAAATATTGGAGGTTTCTACCTTCCCCCCCCCCCTCCTCCTCCTCCTTTCCCCTCTGTCTTGTAGGAGGAAGGATTGCTCCCCGGGAGGAAGCCCCGCGCGCGCCGAGGGCAGCGGGCACGCGGCGGGGCAGCGGGCACGCGGCGGGGCAGCGGCACGCGGCGGGGCAGCGGGCACGCGGCGGGGCAGCGGCACGCGGCGAGCTCGCCCCGCTACTTTCTGGGCTAAACGCCGAGGCTGCGCGGGCAGCTCGAGGAGGAGCCGCTGGCTGCAGAGCCGGCCGCGCAGCTGCCCCACGGGCGCCCCCGACCCCCACGGGCCCCCCCTTCCTCCCCGCCAGCCCTCCGATACCTCCGCGGCGGCCGGGAAAGCGGCTCCTCTTGCCACGCCGCTTGCTCCGCAGCGGCTGCCGGAACCTCGGCCGATCTGCGCCTCTCGCTGCCAAGCGGGAACTACTTGTTGTTTTTTTCCATGTTCAGGTAGCGCTTTCACCTCCCTCCATGCTCAACTCCGGCAGGAATGAAAGCCGCTCCCGCCGCCCGCTCGGAGCTGCCGCCGCCCTCATGTCACAGGAGGGAGGCGGCGAGTCCGCATGGGGACAACGGGCGGGCATCCCCGGCACGGAGCGCAACCATGGGGCGGCCCGGGACCCCCGCGCACCCGCGCTGCCCTCGTCCCGGCGGCTCCGCGCACGAGCCCGAGGGTGGAGGCGCCGCTCCCGGCAGGAAAGGCCCCTCCCCGGGGCGGGGGCAGCGCGCCCGTCCCTGCGGACCCCCCCGACCCCCGCTCCCTGCGCTGGGGGCTGCACGGAGGCGACAGCGAAAACAAACAGCGCAGCCATCCCCAAAAGGCAGCACCACCTCCGCTCAGCTCCGTGTATGTGTGGTTCACGTAAGGAAAACACCAAGAAGGGATGGGGACCGAGGAAAGCTGTTTGGCGGAGGGGTGCAGGGAGAGCAGCGCCTGCCCGCGGGGGAAGGTTCCTGCCCCACGTAGCGTCCCGAGCAGGGGTGTGCGTGGCTGCAGTGGGGAGAGCCCCCCTCGCTTCCCGGGCAGCCCCCCTAGACGGCAGCTGGAGCAGCCCCTGCCTCCCGGTCCCTTTGGGCATGATGGGGAGAGGGGCTGAGGAAGGGAGATCCAACTGCTGTGTCAGCCCGAGGGAAGCAGGTGTCGAGCCCAGGCACAGTTCACACGCATTGCACTCTGTCCTCAGTGCAGTGGCGGGGAAGGAGGGAGAGGAGAGGTTCAGAAGTTGAGAGATCCAAACTACCCCCCTCTTAATGCCTTGCTCGGGACTGCCGCCAACCCCACTGAGTTACATTCTGCAGCCTGCTCTAGTGCTGCCTGGTTTCAGCCAAGTGGGAAGCTGGTCACTGGGAAAAGGAGCTTCCAAACTCCCAAAGAAGATATGAAAAGTGAGAGGTGATTCCTGCTGCCACTTCCTCAAAATAAAGTTCATCCTCCATGCCAAGGGCAGTCCCTGGCACCCCGGAGGGTCATGACTGAGATGAATCAGAGCTCGTGGTGGGAGATGTGCTGGCTTTGGGAGGGCAAGGCGCTGCTGGAAGCAGTTCTCGGAGGACACTGTGCTTCAACCAGATTGCTTTAACCCAGATCTGTCTGTATGTGGCACTCATGATGTAGATACAGAATCCCAGAGCAGCAGAAACTTTTAAGAAATGTTTCTAAAGCTTACTCCAGATGCACATTTTGAAGTTCCTAAAAAAGAAAACCCAGGGCAGAACATACCCTGCCAAAGCAAATCTAATCAGTGAAAACTCCTGGGAGCCCAAATTAATATTCAATTACATAGTTATAAATCCAGTGGAAAAGACTTACCCATCTAATCTGAAGCAACACTGCCATACTTCCTTCTGTAAAGGGGACATTTGTGAAAAGGAGATAATTCAGAAGGAGGAAGCGGACCAAAATGAGTATTCCTTGTCTTCTCTCCAACCTATAAGGAGTTTCTGGAGAAATGCAGTGTATTGCAGCTCTGCAGCATTCATCCATTATGGAAAACCATAGGGTGGCCATAGATGCCAAATGCCAGGCAAACAATTAGCACAGGAGACTAGGACTTCCCTCTGAACTATCTGCTGAAGTCCCACATGCATGGGAGGACCAGCACTTCTGTCACCCACCTCCACCATGAATAAATAAGACTAATCAGGATGGCCTCTCATAAACAGATTTTTGCAGACATACATAGTAATGTAAATGCCATGAGAAAGGGCTATATTCTGAGAAATTCAGTTACACTTCAGGCTCCTTAAACCCATTTCTTTTTTATTACCTGATTGGTCTGATGGTCTCTTTCATAATAGTCCTTCAGTAGAGTCAAGATGTCCATATTCTACAACATCTGTTACTAAATATAATGCTATTTATTTCTCTGTGTGTCATTCTTCTTTTTATTTTCAGCGTATGACAGATTTCTCAATGAAGGATGAAATTATATTAGAATTGACTTTTCAGAGCCAATATTGTCCTGAATGATATCACAGAATAAGCAGACAATATTCTACGTAAGCTACTGCTGTTACATTCATTAATTCTTTCTTTCTTTTTTCCCCAAGAATACTGTGACCTGAATTTTTGCACCCCTCAATTTCCAAAAATAAAAGTGAGAGCATAAAAGGGAGACGTGTTAGAAATGAGTCTCCTGAACAAGCTTTACCATGAAATAGATTGGCAAATGGAAAAAAACAAACAAGCCCAATTCACACAAACTCTCAAAAACACTTATGTTCAAGTTTAGTAGAAACCTTCCAGGACATGAGGATTTAGGGTTTTCTTTGAAGAACTGAGGCGAAGCAAAACACAACCAATTTGTCCTGATGGACTGGTGTAAAAAAAAAAAAAAAAAAAAAAAAAAAAGTCCCGTTTTATTTTTCAGCTGGTAAAGCAATAAACCTGGATGTGAAGACGGCTATATGGCAACTCAAGCAAAATGACCATTTTACTTGCTGGCAGCCAAGCTCTAGTACCACAACGCAAAGCCATTAGATTTACCAGCTATCCAGCAATAAAAGAGCAAGTGGAAGAAAGGAAAGGCCTTATCTGAAATCATGATTTGTGGCAAACAAAAACAGACTTAAGGACAACTGCAGTGCATCCAAGTTACAGTCATGCTCTGAATCACCTTCTGGAGGAGCTCTGTTGAAGGGAGAATGCTTGGGAAGATTAGCTTGCCCAGCTAAAGATAGCCTTTTGGAGGGGGAGGTGCTACATGGGAGGCACAAAACCTTGTATCTACTGATTTTTTTTCTGATGCAGGCAAGCATTTCATATTTTTCACGCTGTAACTGGGAAAGAAAAATCAATTTTGTAATTGAAAATTAACATTGAAGACAGAGCGACACAGCCAAAATATGATCGGCTTGTACCAGTTTAGTTGATCATGAAATAAATGAAATAATGATTTTAAATATTCACTGCCACTAACATTTTATTAAGCTTCTGCTTGTTTCTCTTACTTTTCCCTCTTTCTTATAATCATCTCTACTACAATTACATGTAATAATTCATTACAATTCTTGCAGAACATGACAGCCACATTATACAGAAGTACACAGATACTAAGACTCACACTTCAGCATTTCTTGCCAAAATGAGGAAAGAAGGAAAGCCAGGAAAATTTGTATTACATAAATGACCGTGAAATACAACTTTTAGGAGCCATGGGATAGTTAAAGACTAAAAACCAGCAGGCAGTTGTTGCTATTTTTAAAAGACTAAAATACAACTGCATTTTTATTTAATAAGGCTGAAATGTAAAACTGGTTTATCCGTGGTGAAAACAGGGCTTAGTGTAGAAAAATATAAACAAAACTGAGTTGAACAAGGCAAGTGAACAAAGTGTGACAGCCACTTTGAAATCAGTCTCTTTGTCCCCCTGTAGCAGATAGAAGTCCTACCAGGCCCTGCATTAGCAGAAATCTACTTTATATGACTTCACCCACCCCAGGCATTCAATTCTTTGTGAAACTGTGGGGAAATTGGTATCCCTCACTGGAAAATGCAAAACTGGAAGGGTTCTATTTATATTATATATTTTTGCACACAAACCCAAATGTTCTCCTGATCTCTTCTTTGTCCTGCAGTTCTCTGACAGATGCACAGAAGCACAGACACTTTTAAGATTCCACAGTTAGGTCTCTCTTTGTGAGTATCCCGTATCATAAACGATACCTTTTTCTTGAGCTTTCAAGGGTCAGGCAATTTCAGAATCAACCAATTATCTTGGCAATATCAAATCAAATGGCAATAAACTAAGAAATTCCCCCGGTCAAGACTGTTTCACCCACCATAGTAAAAAAAAATACATGTATAATAATGAAGTCACATAATTCAATCAGCTCCTATAGCCATTCTCATAAATTTCCAGACCCAAAGTACCTACTGTTACAGTACGGCCCGGTTCCTTACAAACTGTCACCTTTCACACTTAATGCCAGAATGGGCACTAGTCCTAAAAAGTAGCACTCATCCTTTGAAAAAATGCCAATCATCACAGGATCTTCTTATAGCACCTGCCTTTTTCATTCAAGACAGGCTGCCCTTTGGCTCTCC